TGTAGACAATAACTATGACTGATTGACGGAGAGATTGAGTAATTTTAATTTTCATCAATCTTCATGATACTGCAGATGTTTTTGGAAACTTTGGAGTAAGGTCATCAGAAAACATCAGATCCTCTCAGAGGAAGTTAAATTTTCGAACTATATTTAGACGCACATCGAAAAATTTCAGAAGGGTCTTACGTTCAGGACCCGATATTAATTGATTGCAGTGTGTACATGTTTCTATTTGATAAGAAAAGCAATATTACAATTGTTGAAACAGCTATTTTGTGATTGGTTGTCTGACTTGTCTCACTGTTTATCTCGATTAGTTTTCTCAGATTCACAAAATAAATGTCGTTGTTGACCAATTTTATATTGTTGACTGTTTTTACAGTGTAGAACCTGAAGATTTTTAGCGTAACGGACAAATATCTTCCCGACGACGAGTGGTGAAAGCGCTGCGAGCCCCGAGGAAAGGGTTCGAGGAAAATTTTGAAATTAACACCCATCACTCGCAATATTGGCCAGTTTTTGGCTGCAATTTTTTCTTATGGGCTGCCCCTTTTGACTTTGAGCTACTGAAATTGTCCGCTGTCTGCTCGCTACAATTATAATTAATATCAAATTCCAGGAGAAGGCTGGTTTTCCGTCAGGAAAATTACCTAGCTCCGGACCGTATCGGAGAGAAAAGCTACTTTTTTATCCATGTGTCCACGAACAAAGAAACCATACCGTTCGATCCAATCCGGAGGATAATTTTCCCGACTAAAAACGAGCCTAGAATAAGATATTTTCAAGCCAAGGTTTGGGAACAACAATCTCTAGTTTCTTTGGCAGAGAGGGAGAACATTTTTAAATTACGATTGCTGCAGATTCACGGAGATAACAATTTCATAAACACACATCTTTTAGTTTGAGGCAATAGTGCATGTCTTAGCCACAAATTTTATTGAAAAACGGCACAAGAATAAATTAAATGAATGATGTCTTTCAGATTAATTCCTGTTATGGATTTACAAATAGCGAGTTATTTATAATATACACCGCACGCGGAGACAAACCCACTACTAAATTATGAATCAGGATTTTAATATAGAAACGATAAAAATATGCACGCAATAATAATACTCATTACTCATTGCATATGTGATTGGAGTAGTTTTAGACTACACCATGTATTTCGTGATTTCTTGTTGTTATGACACGAGAAAGTTCGCCTCAGAAATCTATAAATAATTTTCCTCTCTTCCTGTGTTAAAATAATCCGTTAAACGCAAAGTGTTATTAATGACATCTTGTTGAAATTTAATGTCATTTTAGAGACACTCTCCCATTAAACTGTCATGATTAAAATTTTTCCACAGCGGGAGAGAGCGACAATTTGTAGCTTTCCGATGACAACGTTCTCGTGTCGACGTGTCCTAACCACAGGAAATTGTGGAATAATTTGAGGTTCGAAATAAAAATTATATCCATAAATTATAATGATCATTTACCTTTCATCTTAACTTTAGACATCTTCAGACTAAATATATAAGTCGAGAAAATTACATATAAGACTGAACGATGGCTGCGGGTCGTAATTTTTCACAATTTCGTATGAATCGAAGCAAAAAGATAAGATTTTGAAGTCGTCGTTAACATTGTATAAAACTCAATGTACAAAAATGTAATATGATCGTAGGTATAAACAACGATGAGGATATAGACAGTGACTAGGACGATTGACTTACAGACTGAATAATTGTAATTTTAATTTTTCATTAATCCTCGCAATACTGCGGGTAGGGTCGCAGCTCCTCGCAAGAATGATTTTCATGCATAGGCTGAACTTTGCAATACATTTCTGTTTCAACTAATAGCATAAATTCGTTCTTTAGAAAGCATAGAAAAGCATTATTCAATTGGACGAAAGCTTCGGAGCACTGCTACAGGATTTTGTCGTAACGTTTACCGCCATTGCAAAAAATGTAATCTAATCGTAGATGACAGGGATATGCTGTAGACAATAGTTATGACTGATTGCATTACTTACAGACTGAGTGTAATTGTAATTTTTATCAATCATCACAATGCTGCAGATAATCTTTGAGACTTTAGGTAAGACAGGATCATGTGACGTAATTGGTTATCGCTCAATTTGCGTTACCTGCTGAAGGAAGTTAAACGCTGTTTTTGCGGAGCCGCGAGAGACAATTTTACAATCCCTATAAGGAAGTACGGTAACTATTAGTTAGCATGATTCTATACTCTTTAATTTTATATGTTTAATGCCCTAACAAGTTATACCACGTATGTTATGCTATTAAAAGTACGATCGGTATATACACCGAGCTTTCGGGAATTTAATGTACATATTAATAAATATAATATTACGAATTATGAGTAGGATTTAAAGCAAATGCCGGAGTTAAAGCTTTCGACAATAACTTAACGGAGTATTTTTCAAACAATTTTTTAATTCTTCTATGGCATATATAGAACAATATTGACTTCGACATTGTATTTATAAGAAAGTACTAATTTCCGATATCATATATTTTTCTCAGCCGATTCTATGTCAGTGCCAAGTGGCAATCAGGCGAAAACGTCTTTGAACATGCAATACCCCACAGTCACGTTAGAAACATATACTGTATCAGATATCTGAGAGTTAGAGCGTACTTTTCTGCGACGCTTAATAGATAGTCTTATTATAGGGTGGATTTCCACCTGCAGAGAAATAATTCCGGTAGAAATATTGCGGGTAACCTTTTGAATCACATACGCTGTGAGCATGTGACGTTATAATGTTAACATTTTTGTTAATGATCGTTAAGCGAAATAACCACATTCCGAACGTACATGCATCAACAATCTGTAATTACTGCTAGTTTTAATTCTAATTTTAATCCTAACCTGACCCTAACTCCTACGACGCTTCATGACGTCATGATCTCAGATAAGCTGGAAAGATTCGAATCTACAAACATGAAATTATTCATAAATAATCATTAAACATTTACTCTTGTTCCCAGGCCATTCCTGGGAAACAGGATCATGTGTTGTAATTGGATATCGCTTAAAATAGCGCTACCTGCTGAAGGAAGTTGAACGCTGTTTTTGCGGAGCCGCGAGAGACAATTTTACAATCCCTATAAGGAAGTACGGTAACTATTACTTTGCATGATTCTATGCTCTTTAATTTTATACATTTAATGCCCTAACAAGTTATACCACGTATGTTATGCTATTAAAAGTACGATCGGTATATACACCGAGCTTTCGGGAATTCAATGTACATATTAATAAATATAATATTACGAATTATGAGTAAGATTTAAGGCAAATGCCGGACTTAAAGCTTTCGACAATAACTTGACGGAGTATTTTTCATACAATTTTCTTATTCTTCTATGGCATATATAGAACAATATTGACTTCGACATTGTATTTTTAAGAAAGTACTAATTTCTGATATCATATATTTTTCTCGGCCGATTCTATGTCAATGCCTAGTGGCAATCAGGCGAAAACGCCTTTGAACATGCAATACCCCACGGTCACGTTAGAAACATACACATAAAATATCTTAGAGTTAGAGCGTTTTTTCTGCGACCCTTAATAGACTATTACAGGGTGGATTTCCACCTGCAGAGAAATAGTTCAGTAGAAATATAGAAATAACATTTGCATATTTTCTATTGAATTCAGAACAGTCAGGTTGATTTATGCTGTTAAAATTCGAAAGAAAATGTGCAAATATTTCGCTGGGGAACCATTTCTCTGTAAGTGGAAATCCAACCTTAGAGAATCCGTTTTTTGAGAAGCAAAGTCGGCTTGGCTTCTGGAAATTCAATTTCATTTCATGTAAGTGCAACTTAAGCTTTTTGGTATTCAGTCAACGACACAGGCAACAACATATTTCCACTAAATGCCGCATGTGACGTTTCCTGTCAGTTCATTCAGGGTGTATACGATATTTTTTTCCCCCGATATCGGTAATATGGCTATATATAGTGAAATGCCTTAAATGTATATTATCGTTGTATATATTAGATGTTAATATGTGCATGCCTCTCATTTCACAAGCTGTGATGTTGTTAATGACCGTATTGTAATATATTTTATCCATTAATATTTATGACTTTGATAATACAGACCAATATTGCCACTGTGAGATATGACAGACTGCGTACATGCGTTTGGGTTGAATTGTTTCTTCTTTTTCATCTTCATCTTCAGGAAACAATTTTTGTACGGGATCTTTCGCTTTCGTGAAAACTAGGTTACAGAAAATGATATTTTTTGCAAAAAAATGTTCTCATAACCTTCTATATGAAAACAAGTTACAAAATGAAATGAAATAGGAGGAAATAATACGTTTGGGAAATACTGCACGAGTATGAATTCATTTTGATTGCTTTCATAGTATAGTTATTTACCGCATAAAATTGGATTTTTATTGGTAATTTAAGTGACAGAGCGCATCTTCAATAATACTAACGGTTAGTTTTAACTGGAAGAGCGGGTATCGTAATTATATTCACCCTCTAACAGCAGAGTTATTTTAACTAGAAGAGATATTGAATTTAGGAAGTCAATGCAATTTATGTCTGGATTACAAAAAATGATCACATCAAAAGGGGGAGTGCCTCAAATTACTGCATGAAGAAAGTAAATCGCTACATACGTTATGTAACAACATACTGTATAATTATACATATAAATAATTGATTGTGACTAAAATATTTCTTCTCGCATGGTATGCATTGTCATCGATTTCGGTATAAAATGGCAGGATATAAGTGTTTCAGCAGACAGACTGAACTGAAAAACGGCAGAGCTATATACGCATTATCTCGCATTATATACATACGATGATATTGAAATACATATACTTAAATTATGGACCAGTTGAGCTACAACTGTTGTAAAAGCTAAGGCTCACTTTTTTTTAATTTACCTTTTTTAGCCCCAATATTTCTGCTTTGAATATTCTCAAGTAAGGGCCATCGTCGACATCGGAAATGTCTTACCTACAAGAAACGTTTGAAGAACGCTGTCACACCACAGGAGCACCAAGTCACCTTTCGTTTTTCACCGCATCAATATCGATTCTACTTTTAGTTACAAATATCCCTGGGAACCTCCTTCTAATCCTTGCTGTAGCCTTTGATCCTCATAAAAACCTCCGGAGCCCGTTTAACTATCTCATGTCAAATCTAGCCGTCGCTGACCTCATAGTTGGTTTAGTGACTGGACCGTTGTCAGTCAACTATCATATTAAGGAAGGTCTGTATGGGCGGCTATCTATTGGGGAAATCAGACTGTTTCATATGAGTTACTTTGTGTCATGCACGGCGAGTATTCTGAGCCTTGCGTCACTGGCAACCGAACGGTACCTCGCTATGAGAAATCCCCACAACTATCGCAACAAGTTAACCCGAAAGAGAATCCTCATGACCGTCATTTTAATATGGCTCGTATCCTTCACACTACCTTTCATATATTTTGAAGTGGGGTCTATAACTTGTGCATTTATACTGGCAAACACTGCAGTCTTTCTAGCTCTTGGTATCATGTGTTCACTTACGGTCTGATGATATACAAATTCAAACCTATAAAACTCGTATCCAGAGCGCGCAGAAGGCAAAAAAGAAAAATAATGATCTGTGTTGCGTGGTCAGTAAAGATTACCAGGACAACAGTAGGCATGGTGAAAGACGAATAGACACGACGTCATCAGCAACGACAACGACTGTCGCCGTGACAACACGGTTCGCATGGAAACCAAAGTCACAAAAATGTTTCTGGTTGTCATGGCAGCAGTGCTTGGCTGCTATGGTCCTTCCGCCATATTTATTTACACGATGAGTTTTTGCGAAACATGCAGCTGTGAGGCTTTGCACTGGTTTAGAGATTTGCAGTTCTTGTTTGTGCTTCTCAATTCGTCTGTGAATTTCTTTTGCTATGGTTTAAGGTCGCGAAGGTTTCGGAAGGCGTTTGCAACAATCTTGAGGTTACCAAATTTGCAGGAAATTCCATGACTATGTCAACTCCGTCTTCAGAAATCGAGGTTACCAAAAAAGCCTAAAGATCAAAAGTGCTGTTCTGATGTTTAAACTTTTATTTACGATTATCAAATCATAATTATCACGATAAATAAGCACAAGCAGACCGTTTCCCAGTCTTCCTTAGCTCACTTCACTACCGAGTTTATTCAATTAAAAATGTAAATAGATAAACAGCCATCTCTTCTTATGTTAGGGCTTATCTTAACTGACACTGTTGTTGAAACTCCTCGGTCTAGTAAACTATGTCTATAGCTATCTATTTTGAAATATTTAACTCGTAATCTTTTCTAAAATATTTTGCAGCTTTTTATGCATGTTCTTCTTACGTTAACTGTATGAGGCTACAAAGTAAACATAAAAAGCAGTAAATTTTCAAATAAACTTTAACTGAATATTAGTTCTAATTGTAGCTTGTCGATACTGATAGGACATTTCTAATGCAGCGAGTTTGATTAAGTATTTAAACTGGCAAGCAGCGTACCGGTAAGTTCCATCAACCATGTTCCACGGTCCATGTTCCATGAACAACATACCGAAGCAACCGCCGGAAGTTGTTTTTGACCTGCGATTACTGGGCATGTCTTTTCCGGGATTGATTTTCTGCGGAGCTCACCAGCTAACCCACTTATTCCAGGCTGAGGCATAGGCACTGGTGGTATTTCTTCTCCATGCCGCAAGCAGAATTTTTCTAGTTTCCTCTGAAATGTCTTGTGCCAGATGTTGTAACATATGTATTCCCTCGATTTTGAAATGCTCGTACATAAGATACTGATTTAAAGTGTTACTGCAACGAAATTTTGACCCTATTTTTATTAACCTAAGCAAATATTCAGCCTTTAGCAACAATTTGATGTATATTTATGACTTTGGTGTGTTAAGTAGAAGTTGACTAATTTTGTCCCAAAACGTCGCTATCAAATGCGAACTTTTATAGCCGCCATGTTTGCTGCATGTGACGTCATAACGAGTACCGATGTTTCGAAGCTTATGGTAATATACAGGGTGTATCAAAAAAGGTAATCCAACTTTGGCGCACTATTGTACGTGAACTACTCATTCTAAATTTTTTTCACATCCCGACAGGTTAGGCTTTTAACTATCGAATGACATGTGTTTGGCACTGCTACTTTAAACGCAAGTCTAACCGGAATTTCTTTAATAATTTATTTAAACAAAATGGTAGAGAAATTTATTCGAACATTACTATAAATACATAATAAATCGATATCATATACTTTTTATAATGCATGCACAATACAAGAGGAAAAAAATAAAATTACGCATATAAACTTAAATATAAACTAGAGAATTAAAACTACTTTATCTAATATTAGAGTTCCATTTCGACTTTCTTTAATATTTATTGGTAATTTATTCTATAGAAAAGATTAAGTTTAGGTATATAAGTAAAAGGTATAAAGATACATGCATTCCAATCATTTTCTTAGTTCATACGATGAATCAAACTAAACTTAAAGTGCCTATATCACTTGTGGGATTTTTACAGATTTGAATAGAGCTTGAAAAATTAGTTTATAAATTCTACAACCCTTGATATAGTTAAGTAGTTTCGGAAATATTTACATCTAAACATGACGGTTTCCCTAAATTTCCGTCGTGCTCGGAGGCCTGGGACTCAGGAACCGAGTTCTTGCCAAACATAATATAATCAATTGTAATTTTACTTCGATCTTCCAATAAAATATTTCGAGAAAAACTCACCCTGTTGCTACAGCCATACACAACGCACCGTTCCCGCATTATTTTCTTGAAAAGCGCAAACTATATCGCCAGTGAAACTCTTCATGTTTACATTATAAAAGACGGCGTGTTTGCAAATCATTCCTGAGTCCCAGTCCCCCCAACCGACGTATTTTCGAAACTATTTGATTATATCAAAAAAGTTTGTAGAACTTATAAACTAATTTTTCAAGCTCTATTCAAATGCGTAAAGATCCCACAAGTGATATAGGCACTTTAAACATAAACACTAATCAAACTACAAACATACATGCAAACAGATAAATTTCAGTATCTGAAGGGTGGGTCCCCGTAGGACTTTGTCTATTACAACTATTTCCAAATCAACCGTTCGTTCTGTCTCGCACTTCTCCTAACGCTTAACTGATTAGCAGTCACTCGTACAGTATCTTTTATTAACCTAATAACTAACATAACTAGATATATTACATTAAAATTAATTTGATTATGATGGAATGTTGCTGGCTATTCAAACCAACATGTTTTTGATACCAAATGGTTAAAAAATGAGAAAATAGGAGGCTGATAAAAAGTGTTATTTAAAATCGCATATTTTCACCTCTGAGAGTTAAGGCGGATTTCCACTTACAGCGAAATCATTCGCTAGCGAAATATTTGCATATTTTCTTTTGAATTCTGAACAGTCAAGTCGCACTAATTTATTTATGCTGTTAAAATTCAAATGAAAACATGCAAATATTTCGCTAGCGAACGATTTCGCTGTAAGTGGAAATCCGCCTTTAGACTAACACCATCGAATATTAACTCTCTTTGGGACTTAATTGAAGAATTTTGCTTTTGAATAAACTACAGGGTGTCCCAAAAAAAACGAAAACTATTGAAATCACTCATTGTTAAAATTTGAATGCCGTGTTCACGAATTTCAGCCCGTGAGGATTTAATACAACTTATAAAATGCTAAATGCTTTGTGTTGCTAGAGAAAGGGGACATGTCGAAGGTCATGGTCCTTGAAATGCACATTTAAATATTGTTATCCATATTTGTAAATTGTAAATATTGTTAATAAATATCATTTTTGCGAACAAGCAAATTTGACTGCATCATATGCATGCATAAAAATGCTTATGGCAACCCCGATTTATACACTTGCAGGGGCGGATCTAGACTATATCAACTGTATCAAATAATACAGTCAGATTTTGCCGAAAATAATATCTTTTGACTGTGAGAATTCCTACATTGATATTTATAAATGCTTTTATTTCATCATTTTACATCATTTGGAAATCGTTTTTTCGCTTTACAAGCTGACAAGCGGTTACGGAGCAATTTTTGGCATTTCGCATTCGCCAGCCTACGGTTCACTTCTACCTGCTAACAAGCCCGCTTTTTGGGAGTTTGCTTCTTCGTTCAACTCAATAACATAACTCAGAAAGACATCGTCGTAGCAGTTGAGATAAAAATAGATAAGCTATATTTAGACCGTTCGACTGTATCAAACCAATCAGAATCGCGATCACTGATACAGTTTGATACAGTCAGATGCTGAGTCAGCTACATTGCTCTGTTTGAAGGATGTCCAACATTCCACGCAAAAGGCGCAAGTCTCATTACAAGCAAACTAAGTCTATACGCAGTTTATCTGGCTATCATGGCATCACGCGCTCTGTTAGACAAGTTGAACTGTGCGCTCAATAAGCGAAATTCTTTGGCTGAGAAGGTCGAAGAGCTAACGAATATCAAAATTCATGCGAAATGATTTTTCTGCTGCTCAAAGAGGGGAATAAATCGCGAGATGTTCACATGTCAATTTGCGGAGCTACAGTTTCCCAAAAGCCAGCGATTGCGCTCTCATAACCATTATCCCATCAGGTAACTACAAAGCTTTGTGAATATATTAATATCTTATTCGTTGTGATGATTTTGTGAAGTTAATTTGCATCGTGAGTGGAAAATCTGGTTAAATTAATATTCATGTTTGATATGTATACAATAATAGCATTGCGTTTATAGGATCAATGCACGTGTTTATATTAAAGCCGCTATTATTAATATTTTCCTAAGGTTGGTCTGCTAATAGAAATAGTACTAAAGTCGTTACTGTCGTTAGAAATTTGCCTGAATCATTTCCTAAGCTTTGTCCATCTAGTTTTAATAGCTATGAGTTTATGAATAGGAGTTTGCTCTAAATTTTGACTGTGAAATATGAAATGCTCACGATGGGAAATATGATACCACTATGCCCAATGAAAAACCTTAACATTATATAAGTCTAGTCAATGACTGCTGAGAGTAGAACTACCTTTAATTTACTGCAACTTCCAAATTTATCAATTTGATAAGAATATATAATCATAATCATAATAATTTTTTTAAGTACGCGTTTTAAAGCCGGGAAAAATCTGCTTTGCTAAGAAAAGCCGAAAATTTTGGTAAAAAATATATCAGGAAAAGTACGCTCAAATCGCGGGAAATGGCATCTCCGGGCTTCCAGTTTCAAAAATTTTCCGGGGGGGCATGCCCCCGGACCCCCTAGTTATGCGAGACCTAGTCCGTGATACAGTCAGATTTTCGGCCAGATCCGCCCCTGACTTGTGGGCCCAACAGAGTGCTTAGGCATTCAAACTCTAACAATGGCATTGTTATAGGTGATTTCAATAGTTTTCGTTTTTTTTGGGACACCCTGTAGTACCCACAAATGCATATTAAGTAGGAATAAATCACATCAGGAGAACATTCTAAGCGATGCCGCGTAAAACCAGTGCAAGCTGTGACATGTTCGTGATTAATTGTTTTTTTTGTTATGCACTGCTTTAATTAGGCTCAATGGTGAAAATATGCGATTGCGACTAACATTTTTTATCAGCTTCGTATGTGCTAGACGATTCCTAGATAGGTGCGGATCTAGGATAAATCCAGTCAGTCGCGCAACTTACGTGCTTTTCGCAGCTAAGTGACAAATATTCAATTCTGTCTTTAAATTTCAACAATTAACTTCCCTCAGAATTGTGATGAGAAATTTATACCATGGTCCAGTTTGAAGAGTTATTCCTTTATCTGATAGCAACGCTAAATCGCAAAAAACTCGCAGAATCAGGGGGCAGGACTTGCTCACTACCACTGGGTTGTCACGACAACTTCGGCAATCGTCGGATATACGAAATTTGAGGAAGGGTATGTTCGACACTACTTCCGGAAAACTTCGTAAGTTGTTTAACCAAGATGAATATAGTTGATAGTTCGAAGCATATGAGGGTTCAAAGGATTAAACTATACATTTGTCAAATTTTTAAAGCTAAGGTGAGTACCTTAAAGTTTGTGTCTTTTTTGTGACATTTTTTATTTTAATTGCACGTTTTTCTACTGTGAAATTTCGATCACAATCGCATTATTCTGAAACGTGGCGAATGCAGTATGTCAGAAGGATAACTTGGTTTACACATCCAGCATTGAAGCAAGGTTTTAAGGTCAGACAACAATTTGTGTCTTAAAGGCAGTCCTTCTTTGCATCATTTCAACGATGTACGTGAACGACCAATCACATGCATGCAGTCATTTCTGATTTCGATTATCCCAGAGCCTTTGTTTCAATGTTTCCTCGCCAGAGAAAATCGCGGGCTCGGGATCAAGATTGCTTTGGAACCATAGAGCTTATAAATAATACAGAATAATAATAGACAATGGTGTTAATGTCTCTATGTTCGGAACCGATCTAAACGCTACAGGAACCGAGCGGGCGATTACTGTAGTACCTCTGGTACGGAATTTTTAAACTCTTATATTACAGTAGTTTAAAAGAAAAAGCTTTGAAATTCAAACTGATTATTGGACATTGTATATAGGTTGTAGTAACAAATGTAGATGTGATCTAAAACTTTCATTTATAAAAGTTTTCGTTCATTGAAGAAAGACAGCGGAAATGTTATCACCTGCTTTAAAAACAACTTCAAAAGAAAGGATCTAAAGCAATCTAAAATAATCTAAAGCAACCTCTCCCCACAATCTTAAAAATATTCCTACGCTTCTGAGTTAAAAACTATAGGTTCACAAAATATACGGTTTTGTTTCTGTTTTTCTGTATTAAAACGATTGAAAAAAACACGGTACGGGGTTTAATTATTCAATTTTTAAAAAAATTGGAAGAAAAGTTTATTCACTATTATTTTTATTTGAAAGTTAATTGTTTTTATCCATTGCTTGTGTATAAAATTATAATAATAAGCGTGAGGTCTGCGTACTGAAACTATCAGATCTAGACCGAGGCTTTTTAGTATATGGACCGAATAACGAAAGAGCGAGATTCATGAAAAAAAATCCAGACCGAACAAGAAAAATCTAGACAGTACAAACGCGACCGAACAAGCGAGATAAATAATCTGTTTATATATGGCTGAACCGCTCGAGACATCCGGGATGTACTAGTCCAGATACGGAATATACGGATTACGGACCACGGTCCGGGTATGGGTTTTTACGGACGGCTCGTAAACCAGTCAGAATAGAGGATTTTAAAAAGCCATTTAATAAAACCAGTTATTCTTCTCACTCTCGTCGTATATGACTAATAGCTAACTCGGCGCTGGGTGCCTCGTCGGCTATCAGATACGACTCGAGTTCGCAGAGTAGCTGTTAAATCTTCGCAAGTGCCGGACCAGAGATACCGAGTTATGTGATAAAAAATATGAACTGCAAGGAGACGATTTCACTGCAGCAGCTTTTAAATGGCTTTAACAATAGTATAGTATTTTTAATGATGAATTATCTATGTATATATAGTATATATTATGTATCTTGTTATTTAATTCTACCATTTTAACTTATATCAGTTCTATGATAAGGTATCATAAAGTAACATGTATATAACGCGTGTTCTGATTGGTCAAAGCCCGTACCCCGATCAGGCCGTCCAAAAGCAAGAATTTAATTCGCGTATTGAAATAAAACTTGAAAGACTACTCAGTGATGTTGTTATTATTTTATCAAACAATTACTTTATGGTTACAGTCTTCGCGCGTTTTTCTTAACGCTTGCAACATTCCCCCGTGTTTAGATCAGGCTATCCAAACACAGAAACCATTAAATAATTTTTAGTGTAATAAATTATAAATTTATAATAGAATAAATTATAAATTTTCCGAAGTAAAAACAGGGATGATGCGACTAAATATTGCTGTTATATATAGGCTATAACTGTTTTCACAGTTCCTGCATGCTGCCAAACTTGGCAACTCATTATGTGATGCATGTATATTATATTGTAAACTGACATCACATTGTGTTCCATTTCAGTTCAAGTACCAAGCCAGGTTTGAGTCGTGGACAAATCACTCATAGAACAACGATGAGCTGGGTTAACGCAGTTATTCTTATATCGACCAAAGTTGTCCTCGCCGTATTTCTTTCCTTTATGATTGTGGCATGGAATACTGGATGGATTATAACTGCAATTTTTGTTATGGCTTTTAAAGGAATCGTGATGGAATGGTAGCGTAAGATTATCATCTTTTTGAATTAAAAAAGCACGGCAATTTGTCGCGCCGCTAGTAGAGCACTCGTTTCCGCGAACATTTACGAACTCAACATTCATGCATTTAAAACCAGTAAAAGTTATAATGTCGACTTGAGTTTTTAAGCCTTCGATATAATCAGTTTTGTTTAGACTATCTATGTCATATCGACAAGTCATTCGCCATTTTGAAGAGTCGTTCTGTATGGAGTGCATTCTAGCCTTCGACAGGCGGTAAAATTCCCAGTTTGGGGTTGTGGCATTTTTAGGATCGTTTCTGAGAAAAGGCTTCTGAAACTCAACACTCTTTCCAAATTGATAGGACTGGATGAGTGTCCAAGATACTGTAATATTATCTGCCGACTTTACGAAATTGCAAACTACTCGGAAAGGTTGATTTTCGTCATCCATGATTGTGTAATGCCCCGAGACTGGTGGGTCATAGCTACCACTAACATATCCACGGCATGATTTGATTGGCTGGTCACAGCGGCTTCCGTGATAGCCTGGGGCACAGTCACATGTGAAACGTGGCTTATGCAGGATGTCAGAAGGATAGCTTGCTTTACACACTCCAGCATTGAGACAAGGTTGTGAGGTCAGACAACAGTTTGTGTCTTGAAGGCAGTCCTTCTTTGCACCTTTCTAAATTAAGAATTTCAAACGCATTATAATCTTGCGCGAAAACCTACATTTAGCCAAAAAATTCTGAAAATTTGCATCATTTTTTTACGCTATAATTTTGCCCTCACTCTACAAACTTCTCCAATGAATTGAAATATTGCAATCATAGATAATTGCTGTTATACAAAACATATATTAATGAAACCAGACCTCACAAGAAAGTTGTTGACTTCTTTTGAAGGCGAAATAGCTACATTCTTCCATGTTGTCTTCCATCTTGAGAGAAACATTATGAGACAAACACAAACTACAAATTTTGTCTTCGTCACACATCCGGAACGCCTGACATGTGCAATTTTTCAAACACTTCGCAAGACAATTTCCAATTGTGTCTCTGATGTATTTTGAAAACCACAGTTATAAGGAATTTTGTCGGGAATCAAGGTCACCCTGTAAAAGCTTCATTCTGTACGATGTTCAACATTATCACTACGAAGCCGATCAACGATCTAAAGACATTATTAATGTTATTGAATTTTTTTTAGGTTATCTTTCGAATACTCCGCATGGCATTGCTTCACATGTATGACTTGCTGAAATAACTCATCATCGATCTTTTAAACGTTTATACCCACGAAAATGTTTGCTTTCCAATTGCGGTCAACATCTCGTTGATTTATATGTTGAATGATTATTCATACCTTTATAATTTAACTACTATAATTTAACGAGCGACAAGAGATGTTGAGGACGATCAACAAAATCTATTTAATATTACCTGATTTCTTTCAGCATACTGCAGAGAAATTGTAGAGAAATTCTGACTTTCTTCGTGACTTCGCTTGGGGAACCGTACTCCCTACCTGATGTGTGATATATTTCAAAATAAGTAAATTTGGAATTATTCCGTGACCTTCATAAATGTAAATTAGGAATTTACTGCTATAAATTTTTTTGGAATTTTTCTACCCACAATCTCCCTAAGACATTGCCGCAACGAAAGTGATAATTCTGTGAAAATGGAGGGTTTTATGTTTATTTCTTAGATTACTCCGTTAAATAATCCGTTAAACCCAATAATTATGTTATTCGGACAGCTTGTTGAAATTAAATGTTTTTTCAGAGACGCTCTTCCATCAAACTGTCAGGAATAACATATTGCGATTTAACTTTTCCACAGCAAGAGATCGAGGGCAACAATTGGTAGCTTTCTTATGACAACGTTCTCGTGTCGACGACGCGTCCTAACCACAGGAAATTGCAAAATAATTAGAATTTTGAAATAAAAATTATATCCATGAATTATGTCGATGACAAATCATATTATATATCATCATTTACGTTTCATCTTAACTTTAAATATCTTCAGGCAAAGTGGAGAAAATTACAAATAAAGATAGTCAAGGATGACTGCGGGTCGTGTATCTTAATTTCTAGTAATTTCGTATGAGTGAAAGCAGAAGGCGATTTGAAGTCGTCGTTGACATTGTGAAAACTCAATATGGAAAAATGTAATCTGATCGTAGGTATAAGAAACGATGATGATAGAGAGTGATTATGACTGATTGAATTACAGGCTGAGTATATTGTAATTTTCATCAATCATTGCAATGCTGCAGATGTTCTTAAAAACTTTGAGTAAGAATATAATAAAACATGGAATCCTTTCGGAGGAAGGTTGCAGATTATTTACAACTCTGCTGCACTTTCAGAGGATTTTCAGAGCCGCCATTTCAAAGAAGGCAGGATTTTGTCGTAAAGTTTACATTGCATAATATACAAGAAATGAAATCTGATCGTACATAACAACGATTGGACATGCTGTGGAAAATAACTATGATTGATTGATTGACTTATAGACTGAGTAATTGCAATTTTCATCAATCATCACGATACTGCATCCAGATGTTCTTGGAAACTTTACGTAAGGCATCACAAAAACATCAGATCCTCTCGACTATTGCAGTGTGTACATGTGTCTATTTGATAAGAAAAGCCAAGTATTATAAGTCATACATAACTGTGTGGTTAAATTTGTGTCTGAATTCATCATCATCTATACGCGTTTTGGGGAAAAGTGAGTTAAGAGTACCTTGTTTTCAATATTGTACAAGTGTTTTTTCGATTGTCGTAGGAGCAGGAAATTATAAGCTATAGGAATTACCCCCGTTCGATAGTACATTTTCAAACATATTTCATTTAAATACGTGAAAAAGTGCGTGAATATCTTTACATTGAATGACATTCGGTGTACAAATCAATAAATGAATATATTCTCACCGTTCTATTCCCACTGCACAATACCATAGCTGAAAATAAACTAAGAATGGGGACAAAATGATTTTCAGCTAAGAGTAAAGTGCGGCGAGAGACGGTGTCGCAGAGGGGAGGTGGGTGGGACGAAAATTCCTTCCTGTATATGCAGCCAGGTCGTCTTCGTTGCAAAATGTGAAAATTTGCTGTTTTCCCGGTCTTTTATACCAACCGTGTTTATTCATGCGATTACTCTGGTGCTGCTTATATTTGCATTAAGTTTTAACGCATTAATATGGTATTGTTTAGCGAAGCGCCCAGTGAGAATAGGGTGTAATATTGTGCGGTAGCGACACTCCTCCAACCAATGTGTTTAGCTATAGCTTCGTCGGAGGCGCCCAGTAGTGACAACATTATAGAACAACCTGCCTGGAAGCTGTGGGCGGTACTTCTTTAGACGATTGGTAACAGCCGAGCCAAGAAAAGAGCGTTAGTAACGCAACCTTTGGGGTCCGTGGAGCGAAATAGAAAACCCTGGCGTAAGTTGACGTGCATTCTGTCACACAGGAGGACGTATAACTGAAGGTTAGCGATCGGGGACAGGAGGATGGCGAAGGGGAAGGCTTCACAGCGAACACATGGGTGTGCTTTCCCCGAAGTGTCTTACCGCAGGTGTGGCGATTTAAGAAACCCTCGTTACCAGGCAGACACATGACATTATTCGTTTTCAAGCGTTCTAAGTGAGAAACACGATCGCCGGAGTAGAGATCCAGGCAGAAAAAGGCTAATATCATGTTGTGATAAAGACGCCTTGATTGAATTGCACAATGCCAAAAATTTTGTCAAAGAACAAAGGAACGGGTTGTTTTGGCGTCACTTGTTCTTCGCGGACAGACTTCAGATAATTAGAGACAGTTGGGTGACAGGGTGGGTTACCAAAGCCCACGGAAGGGACATCAGAGCGATCAAGAGGGCCCAGCGATGTAAATATTGCCTTTAACTTGGCAATATAGTTGTCGGTCGTACCTGACGCGAGCCTGGTAGGACACTTGCAGGTTGCACGTCCAATAGAGGTACCCAAAAATGGTCAGGCGTCCGAGTCAAAACGTTTGTTTAACCTGTTTTATCTTTTCAAATCAGGAAGCGGATCACATCCCCAGTTGAAGCAGAAATCAACGTTTTTGGCTGTGGAAGAGACGCCAAGAATACCTCCTCGTCTTCCTGTAAACGGGACTTCTGACACTCGTACGGCTTTTGGCCTCTGACGGACTGGAGGGATTGGAAGCGAGCGTTGTTATTCGGTAAATCTATATATGCCGACGTTTGGTGAATAAACTCGATGGAATGTTTGTTTTGAAATCCACACCGTTGAAATCCACATCGTTAGCTTAATGGCATTTGGGGCAACATTCAGCTGGTTTCCACAAACGAGAAACATCACAGTACACGTGCCTGAACAGTACGGAAACGTTAGTATGCAGAAGGGATCCTGAAGACCCACAGGTCCCATGGCAGTGGGCGGGTCCTGAAGCCGAAAATCCTTAATCAGGGAAAAGTAAGACACCAGTAGCGCCCTTTTTCCCAACATGAATGAAGTAAAACAACGATGTTTTAGTAACGGCCACCAGTAGCGCCTGGGTGTAAGATCCGGAACGACGACAGAGAACGGGCAGCGTTGGGTTTGAAGAAACTTTAGAAGCGGACCGATTAGCACAAACGGGGGAAAATCATTGGAGACCGAAAAACGCTTTACTACGCTTGGTAGGGAGAACATGATTGTAACCACTCTTGTCATGCATGACTGTTTGGTAGTGGTCCTTTTTAACATAACGTGGGGGATCAGTGAGTTTGTCCAAAGAGAAAGGGAGATCTTTAATCCAAAGATTCAAAAATCGAAAGAAAGTGTGCGTCATGAAGGCACATAATTCCGGTAGAGCAAAGCGCAGATGATTTCCCGTAAACAATAAACGTAATCTATAGCTTTAACAAGTACATAATTCATAAACAGTTCTAAACCGTTTTAATACCGCTACCACCAAGACGTAGATTCACCCCTATTTTGGTCGCCTCAACGAAAAATATAGCTAAGTACTCCCAAATGGGTAATTACGTAAATAAACGTATCATAAATCCACGGCGTGTGTAGAACAATCCGAATCTAAGCCTGGTACGTAACAACGCAGAATACATTTTTTAAAGTTTGTGTGATTTTTACAACATTGAAGTTCGTTTATATGTGTTGCAGAATCTATAAAAATCACAATATTCATCAGGAGCGTAAGTCCGGGTTTACACCGGTCGCAATTCATAGGTGAGCTATATTGCTGGAACACAAGCAGCATTAATCCATACAGCCTCACTAAAGCATTAGAGGTACGTGAAACTTATACCGGTTTGAGAAAAACGTAAACAATTTTTTAAGACTTCAAGGAAAGCACCATGAATTTCTATCGCTGGATCGCAAGCCAGCAATTTTGTTCGTCTCAACTAAATGCAAAAGCGTAAATAAATTGTAAATGGGAAATTGCCTCAACAAAAACTTAAATTCACACCTCTTCTCCAAAAGCGTATGGACTGGTAACCTATACTCGCACACCAACAAATGAAAAGCCGTAAATGAATCTAGACTGGTACAGCAAACGCATCATAAATTACACTGCTGCCCCAAAAGTGCGTGGAAGTAAGTTATATGGCTTCCACAAAAGCATAAATCTAGATTGCATGGTTCAATTCAGCATCGTAAGTCCCTACTGCTTCACCAAAAGCGTTCAGAGGTTGCTTCACCCAAAGCGGAAGTAGATTTAAACCAGTTCAATAAAGCATCTTAATTCATAAACCTATATATCGCTTCACCTAAAGCGTCGACTGGGTAATCTTATATCGCTTCGACAAAAGCGTAAACCAATCTAGGTCAGTTCAATAAAGCAGCATAAATCTCAAAGCGCTTCACCAAAAGCGTAGACTGGGAGGCGTATATCGCTTCAACAAAAGCGTAAATAAATCTAGATTGAGTTCAAGAAAAACATCGTAAATCTATACCGCTTCACCAAAAGCGTAGAGGTACTTATGCCGCTTGGACAAAAAGCATGCGTAAACATTTTATTTATGTATTTTAACCAAATGCAACAAAAGGCCTATAAATTTATATCACTTAAACGCAAGTGTAGGTAATCTTGGCCATCTCAACAAAGGCGTAATTAAACCGAAGTGGCAAATTGCTTCAACAAAGGTATCATAAATCTAAACCCTTAATTCAAATCAAAAGGAATTTGATGCCGCCTCAACAAAGGCGTAAAGAATGTATATCCTGTACTAGACATATAGGATAACAACCGAATGGGAGGTCTTTCATTGAAATTCAAGACCGAGGCGCGCAGCGCCGAGGTCTTGAATTTCAATGAAAGACCTCCCATTCGGTTGTTATCCTATATTTATATACCGACCACACCCATTTTCTATTGTTCTAAATCGGTTTTGGTTTCCCACTCAAGACCTCGTTCTGAAAGCTGGGCGCGGTTTTTGATTTCTAGAGGGGAGAGCGGGGCTGAAAATGTAAAACCCGGTACGGGTCTTACATTCAAATTCAAGACCCAGTTCAGGTCTTGAAATTCAATTCAAAACTTGTACTTTTACGAATCAAAACTTGGTATTAGCTGAACTCAAAAATACCCATAAAATATCCAAACGCAGGGAACACAACAAAAATTTACTTAAATGTTGATAACATACACACGCTTAAACTATACGTAACATACACACGACCACACAACAACTTAAAAATTATTTAATTCACAATAAAACTGAAATTTATGTTTATCGAAAACTTATCACCACTGATCCTTGCGTTTGAACTCTCATTTTCGCCTTTTTTATTTTCCACACATCCCTTGTCTTTAGTCTCACATCGTTCTTCTTCCTTAATTTTCTTGGACGTACTTGCATGAACACCGTACAAAATATCAGACACTTCAACTTGCTGTTCACTTGAAGTTCTCTTGTAGGCTCTCACAGCATCGCTTCGATGACCTAAAATTGACAATTAAAAACAGTCACGAGTTCTTACACAATTTAAAAAATCATTTATACGTTTTTATATTTTCTCGTGTGATTTACCTGTCTTTTCACATATAAGCTGCTCATCAACCCCCTTATCGTACATCCTAGTTGCTGCTGTTGCTCGTAGAGAATGATTCGTTCTGTAGCCAGAAAGACCCGCCTGCTCGCATAATCGTTTAACAGTTGAAGCCAGTTTATTATGCCCCACAGGTACACTGCTGTACCAGCAATTCGGCTTCGGACATTTCAGAGCAGTACGATAAAATGCCGTCGAACTCTCAGCGCCAACACTAGGGCTATATATATATAAGAAACAAAATAATATATAAACACATTAGCATTAAAATTACGCTTGAGTTATTTCCTAATTACTATTATAAATTGAATAGCAAATATATATACCTACCACAAACTGACATACTTGTCGTACAAACGAACAATACACCGTTTCTTATTTTCTTTATTCTCGTATGCTCGTGTCACTTTTCTTTTCAATTTTCGGTCTTTGATTCCCCCAGCGTTTGTTTTTGAAACGTCTTCCCGGTATTCTAAGTAATGTAAGCCGGTTTCCTTGTCAACGCCTTTTATAATTTGCGAATTATCTGCTCGAAGTCTTCTGTGTTCATTGCCCCCTCTCAACGCAAAATGAATGCCAAAAAGGTACACTAAAGTGTCAAGTAGTTGTTGTGGCTGCGAATCACCGAGAACCCCTTTCTCCCAAAGCTGTTCTTCTTCTCTCAATGTTATTACCTCGCCTTGTTTTCTTGTAAGTCCAAGACCTGCCGACGCACTTTCTTTCATCACAGCGTCCAATGCATTTCGCAAATACTCGAATTTGTCGTCGTTCAATAACCTCACTTGTTTTCCCTTCCCTTTCAAAAAATGTTGAATTGCCGCAATTATCCCATAAAGTGTGTTTGGAGGGTATTTACTTCCATCACTTTTCCTGACTTCGCAAATGAAACATGCCAATGTCCGATTTAGTTCATCGTCAGACATCACGTCAACGGAATTTTCTATAACTTCTAAGCCACAATCCCATCATCAACACTTCTTTCGTTTACTCTGCGAACTTTATGTTCCTTTGTTCTCGCCAATTCTCAAACAACGTAACAGCCCACTTATCCTTGTATCTTGTTGATTTTGGCACACAATCATCTATCTTTGCCCGAACTTCTGTCTCACATACTGGCTTGCCAAAGCGATCCAAATCCGTTACACTTGGTTGCTCTTCGACTTCCTTTATTTCCCCAACAAAAGGCCACATATATTCATCTGGCGCAATTGTATCCTGGTACAAATCATCAAGTACAGGGAAAGATCTTTCTCGCTGTGTACTTGACTGGGTAATATACATTTCTGGATCCGAATCGCCGGACTCCATTACTTCTTCATCAGTTTACACCTACAAAAGCTGCACCACTCCCTCTTAAATGGCCGAAACAAAACATCTCAAATAGACAAATAAGGTAATCCATTGTGTGCGCTTTACGTAAACCCTCATGCATTTACCTAATGATCGAAATTGAACGTTGATCACTCGCACGCTTATCGCTTGACAAATAACAAACAAAAACTGTCAAAAACCCTGCAAAACCTCTTGAGAACAATAGAAAATGGGTGTGGTCGGTATATAACAAAGGCAAAAAATTTCCTATATGTCTTTCAAAACGCGGGGGAGATATAACAGTGGTATTAGTATACTAAGGAACAACTATAATAATTATAGGATACAAAGCTCCCGCCCTCAACCCGTTACCTAATCTAGCAACAGGCAAGTATGGAAAGGGTTATACACACGAAACGTCGACCCGGTGAGAAGCACGACATCCGACTCAGCCTCTGAACACGGGTATCCCGTCGTAGACAGAATGTAAGGCGTACCAAGAGTGCCTCTCCCAATGAACAGAAAGCAAAGTAGGAATTGCACTATCAGAAGGAAAACGAGACATGTGGACAAATCCCGTAAGCTTTTGAAGGAGGAGCTTAAAAAACCCTGTCCCTTACAACGAAGCTAAGCCTAAAGCACTAACCCTGCCGAGTAAAAACAATACCAAGAGAAACCTGCACTGGGTATACGCGGCTCTTGAGGCTGTACTGGCGGATTTACGGGGTTATTGATCTCGACTGCATTATCGTTTAACTGTACGGCTTGCTGAGGTGGTTGGTGTCCTGCTAAAATCGCATCAATATCCACTGCCAGAGGTTGAACGGCTGGGTCGTCCATATCCAACTTATAGCTCGGCTGCGACGCTCCCACAGCAAAAAATTCCTTCCTGTATATGCAGCCAGGTCGTCTTCGTGGCAAAATGTGAAAATTTGCTGTTTTCCCGGTCTTTTATACCAACCATGTTTATTCATGCGATTACTCTGATGCTGCTTATATTTGCATTAAGTTTTAACGCATTAATATGGTATTGTTTAGCGAAGCGCCCAGTGAGAATATACATATATTCCGCTTTACTTGAACATACTGTACAGTTTTTTATTTCTATGGACCTTTTGGTAATTACGTCACAACATTATCGCTTTAGATGGATTTCAAGTTTTACTCTCACAAGCCACGTGCAAAGATGCAAAACATCCTTCTACAACACATGCGTGAAAAGAATTTTCATTTTGACAAATAAGTATGGAAATACGACATAATACGACATACGCCAGAATGAGGCTCGTGGTCTTGGCCCCCGGCTCGTTTTCGTGTTATGGCTTATTTCTGCATTTATTGGTCAAAATGAAAATCTCTTTTATGCATGTGTTGAAGAAGGATGTTTTGCATCTTTGAACGTGGGTCGTGAGAGAAAAACTTGAAATATGGTTGGTTATAAATTTAAAACGTTGTGACGTTAAAGTCTTGTGACGTAATTACCGAAAAGGTCTACTCAGTTCGGCTCCATTTTGAAATATTGTTTCGGGGGGGTGATTGCCTCTAGTGACTTGCGAAGCATGCGCAGCAAGCGATGCGCAGTGACGAATCGCTTACGTCGAGAAAGTATTCTCGTGAGACCAATTTGTCATCATCTGTAAGATTTCAGAAACCGAGACTCCCCGACTCAACGCTTCATAAGTAGAAGCTCCTAGGATGGAAAATATCTGTGTTTATCCCTGCCAACTGCAACAAATTTTTAATCCGTCCGGCAAAGGTCGATAATGTAACAGATTTATGAGGAAAATGTACGACGATTTTCATAACATTTTAAACATGTCAAACTTGACACAAATCTTTCTTATCGTCAAATTTTGCATGAAAGCTAGATTTTAGGGATTCGATCTCCTAGTTTAGATGTCTTTGACAATCCCGGTTAGTTAAAGGATACACCCTCCGGATAAAAAGTTCTAAACCGTAGGTCTTTCTTAACAAGATCCCAAGATCTGTCTGGGCTGCAAGAACATAAGTAACCTCCAAGTATAAGAATACTTCGGTCGAGAAGGTCTCAAATGAAAGATACCTTCAAGCAATTTAGATACTAACGGATGAGACCCGACTTTATTTGATTCAGGTAAAACTGCCGACAAAACTGATCGTTAGACATAAAGGTCGTATACCCCCCTTTAAACTGATCTTTGAGAATTTCCAAGATCATATTTAAAGACACTGATCCATCTTTAACTCTATCTCGACGAAAAACTATATATCCAGGAACATTTATGGTACAATCCGGTATTGAGTCTTTAAGCCAAGTCAACGTTTCAGTGATAAATCCCAAATCAATATATTCGTATAACATGAAGTCAGTTATTTCATCTAATTTTGAGCTAACGACCTCACATTTCTTAACAGAAGGTTGGATACGTTAAATGTCGATGTCATTGAAAGGTTATTTGAAAGCAGGACTTTTGCAATTTAATATCATTAAGAGCGATATTAATACAATTGGATGGGCGAATATGACCTGTACCCAAGTCCCGTACTGGTCCAGTGTGCGGTTTATGGATTGGGCACAGCCTCGTCCCCGGCGCGTGTTTTATTAATAGGGAGCTTTAGCAGTGACTACGAGTACGACTACGAGTACGAAATTCGTCATTCTCGCGCGTTGTTTGTTTATACGCCATCAGTCAAAACTCGTAGTCGCCGAGCTTTTGAGTACGAAATTTGCCAAAAAACTCGTACTCAAACGCCCAACGACTACGAGTTTTGGCTGATGGCGTAAGCAAACAACGCACAAGAATGACGAATCTCGTACTCGTAGTCGTACTCGTAGTCGCTGCTAAAGCTCCCTAATCACAAACATTACTACTACGCGATTAATAAAACACGCGCGGGAGACGAGGCTGGATTGGACATTTGTTTCGGTCTTTGGGAGTGATACTGTTTGCTACTTTTCGTTTGGGGTAATTTGTTTTCTGGGATTTTCCGATGCTGGTCCTTTCGGCAATTCTTCGTAAACAAAATTTGGTCGGTTAAATTGCCTCTTCATGAGAGACTTTCGTTTGCTTTTCCTGTTGTTGTTTTTTATGGAATATATTATGTTTCAGCCGTTTCTACTAATCTAGCTGGTTATTGAAACAGGGTTCCACTTCTATTATGGGTTGTTGTGTACGAACGTTGATATAGTTTGACCCAGCAAGTTCATTTACATTACCTGCAGAGCGAGTGTGGTTTTCGACTCTAGGCGTCTTGCATAATAATATTGTGTTATCCAAACTTGAATTGTTGGGGGGCACTGACTCGTATTCATTAACATTTTTTGAATGAGCACAATTTCCATATTCAGTCGAGCGATTTGTTGATGTTGTTCATTCTATGTATCGTCGGGCGACTTATTATTATGCTTTATACAATTTTGTAAATGAGATATTGTGGTCGTCAGGTAGCAGATAGAATCGGATAAAGTTTTAATAGCTTCAACGTTTGTCGACTGACCCGGATAAGGTTTTCAATATCAGAACGTATTCAGAACATATTATTTTGCAAAGGTCTTCCATAATGTCTTTCGCTTTTTCTCCTTCCATACATAACAAGCTCATGTTATGTTATTGTTAGATCCACCTGGTTGTCTCCATGAGCCGTTTAGGCTTAATTTTTCCCTTACAAATTACTTCAAAAGAACTAAATCTCCGGTCCATGCAAAGCGTGGCTTCGTGGCAAACATTACAGCGTTTATCTTCGTTAATCTTCGTTAATTTTTCAATTGTAGATCGAGATTCATAGAACTATACTGCGAACTCTATTTCGAGTGACATATAGTAAACAAGACCTAAAAACGAAGTAATTAATGAATATCTGCTGTGTATAAACTTTTCGGAAGACGGAAAATTATGTTCATAGGATCATAACTGGAAATTAAAGGCCCGTTTACACTTGCAATTTTTTTCTGCGATTTTCTTCTTTTGTTAGATATGAACGATTGAATTAGTTACTAATATTTCAATAGAAGCTCGCACACATCAGGGCATTCGTGATCTATATAACTCGTTCACATCTATCAAAAGAGGAAAATCGCACATACAAAGTGTAAACGGGCCTATAGACAACAAAAGAAGAAAGCCATCACTATAGGGTACGTTTTTACGTAAATATTAATACAATAAAGATTAAAAGAAATAATTTGAACGGTGATTTTACCTCTAGCTTGGAATGGATGTCTTCCATCGCATACATGATATAAGACTCGCATGTCAATCTCCCAGGGAAATTAAAGGTAGAGACTTCAGTTACACAGAAATTGAAGGTAGAGCCTTCAACAGCTGTCGGACTGTCCACAACATTAAGCTCGGGAAATACCGTAGCTCCGAATGTCTTCATATTATCATCATCGGGCCATTTCTTTAAGAACTCAAGTGCTTTGGTAAATTTTGAATGATAACGCTCACGAGGCTGCATGTTTAGGACAAAATACAATGATTAAGTCCTGATTCACACTTGCTCCTAAGAATCGGGCACCCATGCAGTGTATTATTTTCCGATAGAAAAAGAAATTTACGTACCAGTGACCTAAGACAAAGGGAAACCCAGATTCTTATACGACAAGTTTGAACCAAGTCTTTGGTGCGCAAAATCCTTTGTCTGTTGGAAAACAATACAAATGAT